CGCTCCCTCCCAGCCCCCGGCGCACCTGGCAGGGCACGGGAAGATGAAAAGCCCTTGACTAGCGTAAACATTACTTAGCAACAACTAAAACAACAGTTATCAACACTATTCTCATACTACATCCAAAACACAGCACGATACCAGTTAATAGGAAGAAAATCAACTCCATCCCAGCCGAAACCAGGACAATCTTCCAGTATTTCTTCTAAGAAGAGGTTTGATCCTTGAATGAAACCAGCAGACTCTATCAAAGCGTAAGATTACAGTGCTATAACAGGAGAACATGGATTTTTTTTTTTATATAAACTGTGTGAATTTGAAGTGTATAATAGTACCTAGGATTTGAAAATTCCACTGATCTGTTGTGACTGTGAAACATATGCAGGTAGCTTAAAATATTTGCTGGAGACTAGGTTTTCATTTTTTTAAAAAAAAATTAAAAATTGCAAAAGTAGTGCTTAAATGTCTTTTGTGCAGAAACTAGTTCAGAAATACCACCTCTTCTTTCCTTAAAACAGAACAGGTAAACAAACAAACAAAAAAACCCTCTAGGTAGCTCAAAACCATATCTTTTTCTCTACTGCTTTTCTCTGTGGAGAGTGATGAGACTACCATCATCAAATTTCAGTTCATTTCTTGGAAAAACTGAAAAGAGGGAAGAAAAAGCTGGAGTTATCGGTGAGCAGTGGATTGAGCAGGATGAACTGATACTGCTCTCCTAACCAGGAAGTTAAGGGAAGAAAAGAAACTATTTCTCTCTGGTACAACACTTTCAAGAAAAAAATAAGAAACTTTTCTCTTAAAGCATGTATGAAATAAGGGAGCAATGTAAAGGCTTAAAATTTATCACGTTTCTAGTGGCTTAGGGCTGGTACACATTGGAAAGAAAAGATCCAAGGAGAAATATCCTGGTGGGAATTCGTGTAGCTAGAAATGTGTTTTTTCTTTTCATCTGGGTGGTTCCTGTAGGTAATACTTCTCCTTCCATCTTTTATATCAAATTCTGTTGTGTAGATTCAATCTTTTGTGTAATCGGTGTTGGGAGTACTTTACAAGGTTTTATGTGGAGAGGTAAGATTAATGCATTAATTCAGAAATTCCAGCTTGATCATGTAAAAGAGATTTTGAAATAGGAAGAGAGCAAACGAGAGACAAGAAAGAGAACAGATTGTAGGAAAAGGAGGAGGGAGAAAAGTGTATAGAATGTGAGAGACAGATATGTGTAAATACGTTAAAACATGGTAGGAAAAGATCTACTTCAGAAAAGTACAAAAAAGGCAAATGTGATAGTATAAAGCAGTAAGGCAGTAAGAAAGACTTAATTAAAATTATAAAAAATACGTACTATAATGATATTTAAAACAAAAAACATGGCAATTTTCTATAAATATGGTACATAATAAATATTGCATAGGTTTATTGTTTTGTTAAAACAACTTTTCTACTGAAACTTCCTGCAGTGGGCAATAGTGATTTTTGACAGCAGCAGTCATCTGACATGTGAGAGACTAACGTTCAAGTCCCTCCTCTGGGAATGAGGGACTATTCCACTTTTAATGATAATACTGCACTGAAGCGATTCCATTTTTTAATAAATAAATAAATGCAAATTATATAAATAAATAAATGTAAATTAGAAAAGGAATTTTAATCTCTCTTCTACGTTTTGTGTAAATGTCTCATTCCCTGGCCGTAGAGTCAGGCTCTTCTCAGATCAGTTATTATTTAGTCATATATAGAATGACTGAAGCAGTGCCAGGAGGAGATGGTGAGAGACAGAGGTAAATTCTTTAATTCAGTGATGAGGGCATTTACTTGGGGTGTCAAGAATTAAGGATTTACGTTCCTGGTTTCATTTAGGTAGTTCAGGGGCTCC